CCTTAAGCTCCAGATTTACTTGAATGATCTAATGTCAGGTCCCAGTGAGTCTACATAACATTACTTCTGACCAATCCTTGGACATTTATATATTAAATACCTAGTCTGTGAATTGCACGTCAGTGGGGGGAGAGCTGGGAGTTCTGAGTCGCTTTACGTTTCTGGGTGAGCTCCATCTCTGAGCGGTGGGTGGCGGCGACGGAAGGGCTTTCTAGGGAACAGAGCTTTGCACACTCACAAGACAAATGCACGCAAGTCACCTGACACCTTCTAGGGCTTTTTGAGAACATGGATTCCCAGGTGTCCTCCTGGCCTCTAAGATGCTGGACAGGAGGAGCCTGGGGGTCTAGAGGAGGGGTCAGTTGGTATGGTTAGCATTTGAACATACCAGCAGCTACACTCTCTTCTACCTCCTGGGTTTATTCAGATGCCTGTCCAGTCATGGAAGGCCTTCATGGGGTCCTGGAGCCCATTCTGAAGGGGGCGGGGCGGGGAAACCCTGTGGGACAGAGCACTCCCAAGGCAGCGCTCTCTCAGGGAGCCCCCACCCAGCGGTGATCACTAGGTCTGATCAGGTGCAGAGGGTCTGAGCCATCTCCAGTGACACTGGTGAGGGGACAATGGGGCAGCAAAACGACGGTCTAAAGCTTGTGTGCTGTGTTTCTGCAGTTTATTATGCTCTAAAAACAACCCCGTAGTTGCAGCAACAAAAACGTTTCTCACACGTCCACCTTATATGTATTTCTAACCCTACAAGGCTGAAAAAATGGCAAGGTTGATTTTTGAACCTTCCCTTGCAGCTCTGGGCAGAGCTGTCATTCCTACCTAGTTACAATGATGCTTTGAATCTGTTTAAATCAGTTACAATGATGCTTTGAATCTGTTTAAATTGGTTACAATGATGCTTCACATCACACGGGGCATCTCCTTGCGCTACTAAGTAGCACCCGTTGTTGTTGCTGTAGGCTTCCTGTAGTCTTCCAGGTGCTGTGATGTAACTGTCTCTTGAGTTTTGTGAACTCATTCCAATCATTCACTTCTCTAAGAAAGAAGTCCTCCCTAGAGGAGGAGGGGAAGGAGAGAAATCTACAAGGCTCCCACGCCCATAACTCAAGTTGCAACACATAATGCTACTCTGTGTAGAGTTTTTTTTAAAAACAACCATCTTTTTCTAGTATTCATATAAATGACGTATTTCATTGAAAGCCGTTTACAACACGATTTCTCACGTTTTCCCATGACTGTAGTGTGTGGTGCTCATTACTAAGGATTCTGTATCGTCTGGCCCAGGAGGTGGTTCGTGGGGGGGGCGGGGGGAGTGTATGCCACCAGGAGTTGGGGCACTGGGTGCCACCAACCCTAAGTCACACCACTCTCAGGGTGGGTTCAAATCCTGACCCCTTTGGCTCACCTGACTGCTTGCCTACAGACTGGCAGCTCCTTGCAGGGGGAAAGCTTGGTGTAGCCAGTGGTCACCGGGGCTAAAGGGAAGAGGGTTGTGGTCCACAAGAGGACGAAGCAATAGCAAGACAAGGGTGGGGGAGAGGTAGGTTATGGGAGCATTTGATGAGTACTTTAAAGTGCTGAGTATGTAGTTGATGATCTGAAATATAACCCCCATCTAACTTGCTGTGTTAGTCTCTAGTAGACTAGAGAAACAAATCCATGGACACACATATATGTATAAGAAAGAGATTTATATACAAGAGCAATTGAACATTGAGAAAACATCCCAGCCCAGTCCAGATCAAACCCGTAAGTCTGCTATTAGCCCATATGTCCGATACCAATCCATAAAGCCATCTTCAGACTCACACAACACATGCAATGACACCGAATGCAGAAGATCACAGGCCAGTGGGTAGAAAGTCTTTGGATCCAGTGTCATTGGAAACATCTCAGCGCTGGCAGGGGTCTCTGGTTTCTCCGGCTTCTGAGGTCTGGTTGCATCCATGTGGCTTGTCTTCTGCAACGTCTCCCAGGGAATAGCAGAGAGAGAGGGGTGTCTTCTGCCTCCAAGGAGGAAGTACCAGATTTCCCAGAATTCTCAAGGTCATGCCTTGAAGTCTCATTGGCTATCTCCAGTTTGACAGCTGAGACTCCACCCCTACACTCTTACCATAAAAAGGTTGCTGTTGAATAAGCTTCATAGACGAGAAAAACCCAATGGAGCCGATTTCTAGTTCTATGACACGAGGGAGGCGTCGCCACTAGCAACGGAAACAGATGGTTTATCTGTCCTTGGTAGCAAGGTGCACACCCACTTGCAGGTGCTTCTGCTGCCAGGAACCCAACCCCCAGAGACACTGGCACAGGGGGGTAAAGTACCCCAGCAAGGACCGGGGTGCCCCAAGAATCATGCTGGGTATTGTAGTGGGAGAGTGAATGGGTGCGTATCAGGGGCCACTCGGGTGATGTGGCCTTGGATGTAAAGCACGACAGACACTCGCAGCCTACGCGACCAATCCGTAGAAATGAATTCTAGGAAGACCCCCTACCACGTGCATCCCCAGATGCACTCCCTCTTAGCAGCGAGGAGGAGGAGGAGGTCGGGTGAGAAAGCCGTGCAAGTGTTTCTCTTACAGGAGCGTTTGCATCCCACGGCCATGGCTGCCTTGATTCCCAAGCAAAGAGCACTAGTGTGCGCCGGGCGGCCTGGTGTTTGCCTAACGCTCTTCCCGTCTGTGTTTCAGATTCTCGACGAGTTCAAGAAAGACTCCTTCGCCTTTGTCCTGGGGTGAGTCAGCCCTGGAGTGCGATGGCTTCAGGGTGGCTAGGCGGACCTGGGGCTCCGCCCACCCACC